TTGGATTTACATGAGGTGGGAATGAGACGATGTAAACGTGCACGTGACGATATGCGGTGATGTAGGAGACGCCAAAGGACTGTTGTAGCACGATGAGGGATATGGGCTGAATTCCAAAAACGATGCCATGCACCAGGAGTTGCACGAGGGTAGTCATTGGGCAAGTCTTGAAGAGGCGGTAAGAAGCTGTATCGAAAATCCTTGCGCTTGAAGTTGTCGATAGTGAGACCAGAGCGAGTAATGGGTGACACCAAGTTATAAAAATCAGAGGTGATATTGAGCGGGGTGGGGGTAGAGGGGGTAGTACCAATGAGTTTGAGGAGAAAAGGCTTGATCCTCCAATGACCATTCGATGACGTAGCTTTGTGAAAACGAGCTATGTTGTAACGATTGCTTGTTCGTTCACGATGAGTCCGAGCACGTAGTATGCAAGCTCGTGTGGAGAGAATGTATGCGTCGCGTACTAGAAAATGCCTCCATGTTGGAGAGGGAGCCTCAGCAGCATTACCAGCAAAAGTACAAATACTTGTGAGAGGAAAATCCAGCACAGTGTGATGCGTAGCTTGATCCCAATCGACCCCCAGATCCAGTTTGGCTGGTAGCGACATTGCGAAATCTGGGATTGGCAAGCTTGATCGTGAAACTTTCACACAAGGTGCTGTTGGTCAAGCCGAGCCCATTGCTCTAATAAAAACCCCACGTTTCATTGTAAAGTTTAGAGATACAGGCACCTTTATGCTTGTAAGCGTGATGCTATATGAAGAGTGGTTTTTGTTCATTGTCAATTTGTAGATTGTATTTTATTCCGCGTCAATATAAGACGCATTAATATGAAAAGAGAAAAAATTATGTAGGGGAACGTACAAAGCGGCCTTGAGAACGGAAACGTTCAATGAGAGTGTATGCGAGCGTAAAAAGATGGTCTTCATTGATAGGGGTTTCTTGGTATATGAAGTCCCAGTGGCATCGCCATACAGCCCAAACACCACAGGCTACCAAAACACGAAAAGAGAGGAAGGGAGGCATCACGGCGGAAGGATGAGAGGGGTTCAAAGCTTTGATGTG